TGACTTAAAGGAATGAAATCAAAATTGGTGGCCAAACTAGTAACTACACTTATAGTATTGGTAAGAATTTTACAGCAAATATTCATTCAGTGGTTAGCCAGACCATGTTTTTGTTCAACTTGGGCATGATGGTGGGTAAAATAAAATATGTGGCCTAGCTAACTAATGAATGAATATTTCCTGTAAAATTGTTATCAGTGCTTTAAGTATAGATACCAGTTTAGCCACCAATTTTGATTTCATTCCTTTAAGTCATATGCTCAATTTTTTTTGGCTGCATCTTTTTTTCACACCTAAGGTGTTTTTGATTAGATAGATAGTACTAGTACTATCAGTAATAGATAGTAGTAACATTATTGAAACCTTAGCTGGAAAGCCATGATATCAAGTTGAATAGTAGATAGTAGTAGCACTATCAGTAATAGATAGTAGTAACATTATTGAAACCTTAGCTGGAAAGCCATAATATCAAGTTGAGTAGTAGATAGTAGTAGCACTACTGAAACCTTAGCAGGAAGGTCATGATGTCAAATTGAGTATTAAATAGTAGTAACACTAGTGAAACCTTAGCAAAAAGCCATGATACCATGTTGAGTAATAGATGTTAGCAAGAAACTATAATAAAATACAAATTAACTTGTAAATATATGTACCAAGAAGATCAATAGCATTACCTATAACATGAAAGTTATTGATTCTTGTAGAATTCTAAGGAAAATACTCATAAAGTTGCCTCTATACAGTGATCAAAATATTAGCTCAAAAAATAAAACAATAATAAATTTTTATCACAAGAAACACTATTTGTTCATTTAGAATCTTGATTTCTTAAATTTTGCATGCTAATAAAAAAATGCATGAAGGTTTAAATAATTAGCCTTTCTAAATAGATTTATTTTTATGTAGAAATAGATAAAATCCTATAAGTGTTAAATATTTTATGTTTTAACTGACTTTCTATTTATCTCTGCTTTGTTCAGGATGGCCGACTTCACATCGATGATCAGCTCATTAAAATTAATGGCATTTCTTTGCTAAGAATGAAAAACACAGAAGCCATGGAAATGCTTCGCCATGCTATCATTAAAAAGGAAGGCCTTAGTAGTGCTACTGAATTCATTACTCTTACCATTGCTCGAGAAACATTTTTGCCGGCTCAGAATTCGGAAAATATTGTTCCCTTCCTCTCATCATTTAGTCAGGACAATTCAACCTTTTATGGCAGTGGTGATTCTTCCATTGGAGACACCCAAGAGAACTCCACTCGTCTGCTGGAAAATGAACCTTCTGCTCCAGATAATTCTACCAGTGAAAGTTTAGAAGACACAGTAATATTGGTTCCCAGATCAAGAGCTCTTGGAAGTTTTGATGCAGAAAATTTAGACATGGACATACAAGAAACCAAACTATTGGGTAGAAACCCTGTTATTGACAGATTAACAGGCCAAGATACTAAAGCCAATGCACTTGGCAATGAGTTGTACTTTCAGGAAAGCCTTGAAAATTGGGGAGATAATCAGTTTTTTGCATTACATGGGGAGATTACTAGACAGGATAGCCTTAAAAATGATCCAACCTTCTCTCCAACAGTTAATATACCAATGTCTGAATCTGTGATTATTGAAGGATTATATGGAAATCCAGTTCGACCCAAATCTTTCTATAGATCTTCCACATCAAACAACCTATACTCGGCTTCTGCAAAAAATACGAGTCACACAGAAGGAAGTAAAACTGCAGACAGTGAGGAACAAAGTACATTGGTAGACAAAGAAGTCATAACAAGCCAGTAAGTAAAATGTTGTATTTTATGAAATCTTCACTTATATAAAGTTTCTTTCTTCTCATGCACAGTTGTACACTACATGTAACTTCTGTTGGGTTTATTTGTAGCTTATTAATTTTATTTTGTCTAATTTTCACACGTAACTTATTTATTATGTGTTTGTTTGCTTTTTAAATTTTTTTTCCAACTTAATTTTCCAAATAACTTTCATGACATTGCTCAAGTTAACATCTGAACTATTAAACTTACCTCTCATTAGCCTGATTTTTTGTAATGACTTGAGCTGTTGTATCGAGTTGTATTTTGATGTTAATACAAGTTTGTTTTTTTTGTCAGGAGCTAGACATTAGAAAAAACTGCTTTTTTGTTTATTTATAATTGAGTCTAGGCATCTATAACTGTTGCTTTTATCTCTTTTTATCAGGAAGAAATTAATTTTATTTTATTTCAGAAGTTTAGAATAATTATAGGAGAAGTTATTTACACTATAACATTTGATCATATATGATAGGTATCCTAGTATCAAAGTTATAGAAGAAACTGAAATTTAATCTTGTCCTTTCAAAAGAAAGTTAAAGATACTGGATTTACAGAAAATTTTAAGTTGAGTTATGAATATAGTATTTTAATTTTTTAAAGGGTACAAAAGTGTACTTCTGCATTGCTACTTTTATTTATCTAGAAACTATTTTCTTCAACCATTTTATTTATACATATTTGTGATACTGGTTATGTAGGCTTTCATTGGATGATGAAAGGCAATTCACCCTATCCCGAGATGGACTTGGTCGCCAAAGTATGTCAGAAAAACGACATGCCCAGCTGGATGCTCATAACACTGATACATTTCAGCGTAACAAGCAAGCTCGTGAAGGGCGACAAAAACAGGTGGAACCTGAGGAACAACAAAACTCACAAAACCAAGAAAAGCATGAGCTTCAAGAAGTATTATTTAGTAAAAAACAAAAGAACGGTAAGTCTCAAAACTTGTTCCTTTTGTGGAGTTATTTAATATAAATTTTCTTGTACGCTACTTTTAAACTATTTTTGGAATCATCTTCTTTCTCACACACACACACACACACACACACACACACACACACACACACTTGTATGTTATCTTATATATATATATATATATATACTTAATAATTTCAACAACTTAAATTGAAAAATACAATAAAAAAGGAAATTACTGTATTATTTTTCAGAGAGAAATTAATTAATTAATGATAAGACTCATGAATTATTACTTACTTTTGTACTCCTACTTTTGCTAGTTGTGATGAAATATTCAGCTGTAGTAGTGATACAGCATTCTGCCAGGACACACTGATGACTACCATACACATTCTCAGGTTTTATTAGATTACATTATTTTATGAAGGTGGTGGAATTTGCACAGAAAGAAGAAATAAGTTTGTGAAAATTCTAAAGACAAGTTTAAACACAAAATTTAATTTGTGAATAAACTCTGTCTTGATGGGAAGTAACATTTCATCAACATAAAACGACTGTTATTTCACATATGTAATCTGACTTTTCTTTAGCCTTGTTATTGATATTTGAACATCAGTAATGTTTAAATTTTTCAATTAGTCCAACAATTTTGGAGGTTATCTGTGACTTATTTTAAAATTTGTTATTTATTCCTTTGTATATCAGAAAGTAATTCTCAAAGCAGTGTTTACTAACAGCTGAAGAAGCTGTTAAGACTTTGATTCTAAGAACATGAGAATGACCAATGTGGCAGAATTCTGTTTATCTCAGTCACTCTTCCACCAGCTAAAACACACTTTCTGAAAGTTGGTTTGTGATGATCCATAAAAGAATGAACATTATTAAAAACTTAAATAGGATGGTTAAGCAAAATAAAAAACATTTTTAAAAACCATGCTGAGCATTGTTTACAGAATCTCAAATGCTCACATAAGACTTCAATACTTTGTTAACTGAAGAAATCAAATGAATAGGTAAACAATACATACAACCCCTATTTTTTATTGTTTAATATCGATTGTCGTGATAAATCTTCCAGTCACAAGGAATTTCCAGTTTCAAATGATTGAAAGTCACCAAATATGCAAGAAATGACAGTTGCTGTTTACTAAGCCTGAATTTAGCTGTAAATAATATTATTCAGTCTTTTTGAAAAAAAGGTTTTAGTGATTTCTTTTCTGTAAGTATCGAATAAAACTATTCAGCTTTTCTTCAGTGGCACAGCAGTAAGTCTGCATACTTGTAATGCTAAAAACCAGGTTTCAATACCTGTGGTTGGTTCAGCACAGATAGCTCATTGTGTAGCTGTGTTTTGTGCTAAACTACGGATAGACAAACTTAATGTTTCACTTCTGCTTTAATTTTTTTATAATATAAATTAATATAGAATCCTGTATGTTTTACATATTTATTTTGGTTTAGTAGAGTTAGTTCATAATTAACCCTAACAACTTTGTATTAGTATACTAGTAGTTTGACCTATGTGAAAATGAAAATACTATACGGAATTGGAGAGAATGAAGTTGTGTGAGTTTTTTTACTACTATTAATATATCTTGTAATGTCATGTTCTTCTATTCAGCCACCAGTTTACTGACATAATGGGGCCTGGCTTGGTCTAGAGGTTAGGGAACTTGATCTGTGATCTTTGGGTTGCAGGTTTGAATACTGTAATCGAACATGCTTGCCTTTTCAGCCATGGGGACGTTATAATGTGACAGTTAATCCCATTTTTTGATACAAGTAACCCAAGAATTAGCAGCAAGTGATGTTAACTAGCTGCCTTCTAAATCTTCTCTATCACTTCTAAATTAGGGACAGCTGACTCAGATAGTCCTTGAGTAGCTTTTCACACAACCGAACTAACAAAAAAACAAATATAACGTACTATATGTGCCTCATCCAAATCTCGGAGGAGAGACATGGATTTAAATTTGTCACAGAGTAAAAAAAAAGTCATGTCAGTCCATATTTTATGATTATCAATAAAATAATGTGCCTTTGACAAAATATCTACAAGTAATAAAGAATTATACAAATATGAGTTGACTGATAAGTTGAGATTTTAATCTTTTGACAAAATCATTTAGGAATTAAGTATACTTTAAAAAACTGTAAGAACTAACATCAGATGTGAGATTTTTTTTTTCCTTATATAAAAAGTTTTAATGAAAAAATTCTTATTATCTATAGTTTGTATTGATTTCACATTATGTGCTTAACAGACTTATTTTTACATAAATAAAACTTAAAATGCTCCACAATAAGCTAAGCTACCTGTTTTATAACTTGTGTTTAAATAACATTACATTTTTTTCAATATGCTCATTAGTTTGTAACTTCTGCTTCACATCCTGTCTCGTGTCTAACATCACCTCATTAACTAGATCCGTTTTCATAATTTTATTTGTGTTCATTATCACTTTTTTTCTATATGTTCATTATTCATGAACACTTGTTTCATTACTGGTCTTGCACCTGGGATCTCTTCACTTTAATCCTTTCACTACTATGTATGTCATAAAAGGATTTGCTTACTAAGTTACAAATATTTTTTGTTGCCAAGATGAAACTGTGTAAGGAAAGATAATTATTACTCATAATACTTGGTCCATAACTTGTCCTATTTTTTCCTTGCAGCAGCTTATGGACAAATAAAACCCAAGTTTGTGCATGCTAATTCACTGGAATCTCTGTCAAGTCATTTTGTTTGCAGTGTATGTATGCTTTTGTGTGTTACATATAGAACTTTATACTTCAATTCCGCTGATGATGATAAGAAAAAAAGGACTTTAGGATTGTCTTAAGGAGGATAAAATTGGATTTTTTACTATTATGTGATTCCTGTTTTAATGGGAGTTGATAAACTTGTAGCCTGGTGTCAAAGACTAATGGATTTTCCACTAACACTATAAAACTTGTACAAACATTTCTTGTATTGTCTAGTAAAATTTGACCACTCTCTTTTTTTTGTATTAGGAAGTTGATAACAGTATACCATATTATTCATGATGGTCTTTTAGAAAACACTTAAGTTTATAATTCTAATCAGATTTATACTGAAAATTTACTTGTGACATGAATAAAGGTTTTAATAAAATACAAATATTAAAACTTATTGTGTCGTAAATGTTTTATGTTGTAATCCAACTAGCCAAATGCGCTTTGGTATTGTGTGAAAAGCCTCTTTGATAATGGCATACAAGCAACAGGATATAGTTGAAATGCTGTTATTCATCTTACTGAAAACTCGTATTTGGCCAGTAAAGAATGATTTGACTATTATATCAGTCTTGTTTGAAATAATATCACAATTATATATCAGATTAAATACAGGAATTGTTCGAAAGTAAACAAGCACTCATTTGTCAATTACGTTTCCATAGAGTCTCTCACTAGTTACTAAACTGTTTCTGTTGTTGGCCATGCAGATAAATTTCAAACCACATAAGTAAATTTTCTTTGTAATATAGTTATATAATTTTTGCAATAAATGTTTGTAAAGATACAAAATTGATAATACATAGATTTATAAATAATTAAATTGTAACACCTAAGTTGCACAAAATTTCTACAATCTAAAAGATCAGAGTATTAAAGTTTTAATCAAATAAATAGTTAAAATACAACATTTTTCTGTACATATTTTTATTAAGGGCCTCCTTTAAAAAAAAACTCCATGTTTTGAAATATTAACATCAAAATGTATAATGTTTTGTAAAAGGGGCCACTGATGGCCTCAGTACATTAGTTTTAATTGTATACAGAAAACATTATTTTAATTATTTATTTCATTGTAATTGCGACACAAGTGTCAATCATTTGTATGTACTAAATTTCTGTTCCCTCTTGGAATTATAGAAAGTTCTTTATCACAAAATATTCACAAAGTTAATTAATTTCAAAATAGATACTTACAGTTCTAACCTTTTATTTGACAATGCATGATCTCTTCAAATCATAGTCTTGTCTTGAACTCTAAGCCTAAACACAACCTGCATGATATAACAGTACCTCTACTCATTTCTCACTTTAAAAAATGACAAGCTCGTCTGAGTCATTAGATATATTTTTTTACTTCTGGATTATCCTCAGGACACTGAAACACACATTTACATATTTCAAACTAAATTTTTCTTGAATCACCTAAAACATTCTTTAATTAATTAGACAAAAATTGTAACTCCGGAAAAGTTTTTGCATGACTAAAGCTGACGGGAAGCAGAAATTACAATATTAATGCCATTATTCAAATTGTACAACATAATTACAAATAATACTAAATAGATTTCTATGCCAAAGAACAATGGTGTCTTTTAGAACTTGTCACAAGACACAGTTTATATATATATATATATATATAAAATCCACATGAGCTTCTACTTTTAAACAATACTGTTAAGGTAGACAGCAAAACAGAAAGTAATTAAATGTATTTGTTTAGAAAATTACATATAAAAACCTATACATGATTTAGAAAAGACTATTAAGTATTTTTTTACAAAGTTAAGGAAGAAGTGGTAATTTGTAAGAATATTCCCTTACTTCTTTGCTAAAGTATTGGAATTCTCTAAAGTTGTTTGTTTTGCTGTTATATGTTAAGGCTTTTGTTAGGTGCCATCCTGTTTTAAAATACATAAATTACAAAGATAAAGTACCTTTATATAGGTTTTTATAAATTTATAAAAAAAAAAAAAAAGTAACACTTAAAGTAAATACACAATGTGTTATTGAGTAATCTCAACTTCAAAAAGCCTTCTAGGAAGTTAAAAAGCTCCATCTGCCTCTAGTTGTGAAATACAATTGTCTTAGTTTTATAAAGGGCACAAATTATATGAATTCTAATATCTGCTTCACTTTTCTTTGAATACGTTAAAAATCGTTCATACTCGTGCAACATTTAACTTTACATGTACATTTCTCAAATACAATTAATTTCACAGAGAAAAGCTTGTAATATTTTTCCTAATCTCACTGTTACAGGGTCAGTTGTGGCTTAGTGGTTAATGTGCTGGATTGCTGATTGAGTGGTCAAAGGTTTGCATCACAGTTTTGCTAAACACACCCTGCATTCTTAATTGTGTGTGCATTCTAAGTGATGGTCAGTCTCGCGATTTGGTTGAAAGCCCTTGTGGCATTGGGTGATGATGATTGGCTTCCTTCCTTCTGGTCAATAGTCCAAAATTAAGTCAAACTATATTTGAGCCCTAGGAGTTTCTGACATGACTGTTTAGCTTGTATGCACAAAAAATGCTGTTCAGACAGTTGAAAACAACAATATCTTAAAGTAAATAAAAAAGATAAGCAAGTTTGAATACGATTATACTGAGGTTCAGTACATTTTAATAAAATTATTTTGGAGTCTCACCATATAATTGCAGTTCATGTTGCTATGTCCATTCATCCATTTTTTGATGAATGTGCACCTTTAGCTCTTTAGCATAGTTCCATTGCAAAGTGCCCCATCATTAGACTTTCTTGTCCAAATTGTACCACATCTTCCTGAATGCTTTCCATAATCCATCTAAGGTACAAACATGATTTCCCAGCACCCATTTCAACATTTGCATTCGTTTTTAAAAGCTCCAGCATTACCTTTTTCTAAATATCTGTTTTTTTGTTTTTGTCCAATTTTAGAGTTTTCTGTAAATTTTTATTTTAAATTCCTTCTTACTTTGGGTCAGAGTCTTTTGGATTTGCTATTGATATGTCATAGAGATTTGTTTTTAAGGACATATTACTTCTATATGATGATAGTTTTATTCTTCTCAGGATTTGACCAGCCTGGAAAGGTGATAAGACATTTTCTTGCACCATTCTGACTTTGGCTGCTCATTGTCTTTGGTAGCTGCACTGGTTTTATTGTTTTGTGCCCTACATTTCCTTTCTACGTGATTCACACTGACACTTCTTAGTGCCTGTCACTGGTTATGTAATTCTGGCAGGAAAGATCACATTACATGTCAATCTCAACTCTCAGGGTTATCTTGGGTGATGATCTAAGACATGAATTCTCAGTTATCTGCTATTAAAATCTGATTTGGATGTCCTTTAAATGATGCAATCTGTCCAGGTGAATGAACCTGTCCAAGTGGTTCATATCTTGTTGCTTGCACCAGTGTGCTGTTTCTTCTACTTCCTCAGTTTTAAAAAAGCTTCTACAGTGATCCTGGTAACTAAATGGTCCCAAGCTGATGATCCCAGTTAAATGTTCCAGATACAACATCTGTGGAGTCTATACATAGGTATACATATACACTATTATGTTTCTCCTTCCCACACCTCACATATATGCTGCTGCTCGCTTCCAACCCTTCTTTCTTGGCTTATTGTATATCCAGAAGTATAGTAACATATTAGACATCTAAGTTGTTAGATTTAAGTTTGAATTGAAATACTTGCTTCTGGATGAATACATTCTCTCTTCTTTTCTCCAAGTGTATTGTATGTCTGAATATCTAAACATTTAATAATGGTGGAGGTGATCTCAAAAATCTTGTGTATGTCCAAAAATAAGAACTGATCTGTGACAAGGTGATATAACAGAAAATACAGAATAATAATATCTTGAAACATTAACTTATTTGCCATTTAGAGACATTTGTTGGAATTTAATATTCATTTTTGAAATTACATCTGTTTTAGTGTAGCTTTTACTATTCTCCTCTGCTGGAACCTAGGATTCATTTATCTTGTAGTCATATGCTGTAAAAGTGAAATTAAAATGAATGTTTAGAATATTTATTTAACCTTAATTTTAATAATGACTTTATAATTCTTTGAAAATATACTCCCGATATGGTACATTACCTACTCTCACGTAAATTGCTATTCTTTTCAGTGCTGCTCTCTATATGCAAAAAATTTTTGTACACATGTGACTCCCTCTATTCAATTCTACCAACTATCACTTCTCGTTTGGCAGTACTCGTGTTCTAACGTTTAATTTGTGCTCTCTTCAAGTGTTGTATTTTAATATTTTTCCGTTTCTCTGTATTAATTTCTCTCAAGTTTAGTCTTTATTATACAGTAGTGATATTTGTAACTTGTTGCGTTATTCCAAAGTTGAATTATTTTATATTTTTACTCAGTTACGGAACTTATTACTTCATTACAAAACAACTTTTATTGTTTCTGCCAATACAGTTGTGTTTGGTTATTCATTTGCATTATGAAGTTTCTATTACCACATTGGAGGTTATTGGTTCTATTATTAGCACTTTACACAGGCTTCAGGTCATGGTACTTTGCGGGAAGATTTTCAGCTTTACTTCATCAGGAGACTGATCGTCCTATGAACTGATCTTCTTTGGGCCTTGCCTCGAGTTTGGTGGCCCACTACAGTTTGCTGACTATGGAAAGATAAGACATTATACTGTTATGGTTTTTGTATACTTTTATTGTTGATATTATTATCTTTCGTTATTTGAGTTACATAACGTAAGTTTCATTAGATTGCTTCAGACTCGTAGTCTAGTTTAGGTTAGCCATTATTATTAGTCTTAATTGTATTTTTCTACTATACCATTCGCTTAGGCTTAACATGGTCTTCTATTTTAGGATTACTTGTAATTCATCTTACTGGTATATCTATCATTAATTTCACTATATTTTTTTCTTCCTATTCACTTGGTGGAACTCTTGAGCCAGGGATGTTTATTTTCGGTTTACCGGTATTTCTACTTCCACATTAATTATTAATTAGGTTAAATATCTTGTTCGATGAGGCTTAATAAGTATTTATTATTTTAGGTATCCTGTGGTTCTTTTTACAGGTTTATTGATATTTAAGTTATTTATCTTTTCATCAACACAGAACATCACATCCTTCTAGTAGATTTTGGGAGTTGTTACCACTTTCCAGTTCCAAGTTGCTGTGGTGGTGGACCGTGGATGGTTTAATGAAATAAAAAAATAAATACAGAAATACCACTCAGTCCAGAGTAGGGTGGTGGTGTTCTGCTGGTGTAGATGGCATGATATTCTGCATTATAAAACATATGAAAACCAAAGGAGTGAGATTTCAAATTGCAGTTCACCCCTTAGATTGGGATCCCTCATCCTACCCCCACATGGATGTTGGTTCCCAGTGGCCAGGTTTTGGATTTAGAGTAGAACCAATCAACATAAGACCTCACACACGTATTATGGATGTCTATATTCTTCCCTCAATTATACTCTATCTGTGTTGGGAGTCACAGTGGAGGTACTTGGAATTGTTATGGTTCTTTCCCTTCAGCTCTCCCTTGATCTATCTTATTCTGAGGATGTTATTGTGACTGGGTTAGTTCTGGTCAGTTTTACTGTTGAGGGAGTTCATTTCTCTATGGTAGACATCTTTTTGATACTGGATGTCAAGTTCCTGGAATGATATATCATTTTCTGTTCTTAACAAGTGCCCTGTTCTGGAGTCATGGGGGTTTGAGATCCCCTCTGGTCTCTTGAACTTGAGGTGAAGACGGTATGATCATCATCCTACCCCTGCATGGATGTCAGTTCCCAGTAGCATGGGTTTTAGATGCAGTTGACTTGCTGAGTGCGGTCCGTCACGCCCTAGCCACTCTACACCTAGGGGCAGTTTCATTGTTTTTTCCCACACACTTGAATGTGCTTTGTTTTTCCACCCATATATACCCTACCTTTCTCCAATGGGCAAAGAGTATACCTGGTTCAGATGTGGTGCAGTCTCCCACATTAGATCTTTGGATCTGATTCTCTCGTCTCAAGGTGTGTCCTTTGAATGCTTCTTTCTTTCCCTCACATCGGTCCCATCTATTTAATCTGGGATTCTAGTTATTTATGTGAGAAGAGGTTATGTATGGTATCAGAAGTTATAATTATCCTATACTGAAAATGTATTTCCAATATGTACTCACACTTCCCACCCTTCTTCCTCACTGAAAACCGGTGCTTCCATTTTCTTCCAAAACTCAAAGTGATAGTCTTGTAGAATTGAATAGATAGAGTGTCAAATGGTGGAGGGTTATCACATAATGTTTGCATGAGAGACACATTGGAATGAGTCATTTCCAATGAAGGGGAGGCATAAGGCTTGTTGCATGCATAATTTTTTTTGCATATAGAGTGCAGCACTTAACGAGAATAGCTATTTATGTGAAAGATGGTAAGTACCTATTAGAAATACATTTTGAATATAGGAAAATTACAACTTCAAGAATTAGTTAACAGTGCTTACCTTGTATGATACCTATATAGAAAACATACATATAGATACATTTCTGGGTAAAACTACTGAAATTAAAGACAAAAGTTAAAGATATTGAATGTTATCAACATGTTAAGGTCCATACAAATTTTTTGCTTTGTTTTAATTCTCTTTCATACATTAATAGGGTGAAAAATTCTAATTACTCTAATTTTTCAAAATACTGCTATTTCAAAAATGTACACTTGTTTTTAGTCTTGCCATGCTAAGAACAAGTTGAGATTTGTAAATAGTCTTTTGAAAGAAGTTTTTAGAGATAGAACAACATTTAACACAACTATACATATGGTTCTAACAGTTTTAACTTATTTCATTAGCCATTTAGTTTATAAAATTTGAAAAACCCCAAAATTAATCAAAATGTGCAATTTAATATATTTAATTATGAATGCCATAACTCTGATTTTGTAGATTCATTTTATATATTTAAAAAGATTGATGTTTCTGCTCTGTTATATGTGACTATGTTATAAAACTTTAGTTTATGTTTCACCTTTATTTCTGTATTTAACACCATATGCTGATGCCATTTGCTAGAAACGTTGTTCTTTTTAGATACATGAGTCAGACTTGTTCTGTTACTAACCAATAGTATGACTGTTTTTCCTCTTAACCTTCTCTTCCTTTACACTTCAACATCATGGCATACCTGTAGGGAGCTTTCAGTCACCAGGCTCTCACTGTTATTTAGTGCCCTCTGGTGGAGATAATATAAAGAGCATCGAGTCACAGGTGCAGATTGGCCCTTCTCTTGGGATGAGAAAGTCTAGCAGCCTGGAAAGTCTTCAAACTCTTGTCCAAGAACTTCAGAAAGAGGAATATAGTCAAGTTAGGGGCTCTGGTTGTCCCACGGGCAAAGCTACTCGAGGATGTGGCTGCAACGAGAGTTTCAGAGCTGCAGTTGACCACTCCTATGAAGGACCTGTCACTGAAACCATGGAAACCTGTAAGAATTGAATAGTATTACACGGACGTACTTTTTTCACATACAAATTAAGATATATAATCATTATAGCATCATTCAAGCTTCACACAAATCAACATATCTTCTTATTTAATATGGCACTACATATCTCATAACACTGTAAAACTGCAGGAAAGATGTGTAATTTGTTCTTGGATAAGCTGTAATAGGAATGTAATGAGATAAGGTTTTATTCCCATTAATTTTGGAAAGGTATATGTAATAAATGTATCTCTTTTAGGTTATGTAAGTCACTAACTATGAAAGGCTTATTCTCTTATTCTGTTGAGAACATGTTCACGCTCTTTTTTAGTAATGCCCAATTGTATAAATCATCACTCAGCAGGAAAACTATCACCTGATTGTTCTTAGGCCAACTATAGTGTTTATGTTGAATGCTCAATATTCATGCTGATTTGTTTGAAAGGTTTGTTCTGTTATTCTTTATTTTTTGTTGGTGATTAAGAATTACTTCGAGACTGATGAAATAAGTGAAGAGTAGGTGCATTTTGGAGGTACAGACAAATCCGTTTTAGTTAAATTCTATAATTTTCTTTAATCATTCAACAATGGTTTCCCATCACTTTGACATTCTTTCAAATTCAATACATATTGAATAATTTAGCACTGAAAAAGATGTATTCTGTACATAAAATAGCCAAAAGCAAAATAAAATTTACCAAGTAGTGTTTCACTAAGCCTTGCGTTAAGTTTATGTATTAGGCCCAATGCTTAAATTACACTACAAATAGGCTTATTATTACCAATGTTAGAGTCAGTGTTTAAAAGTGGGCAATAAATGTTAATTAATAAACACACTTTTGATATTTTAACACACACATTACCTACTTGGCCTTAAAACATAAAACAAAATAAATGTTTATTATCATCAAATATCTTTTATCCTTTGTACAGTTCAAAGTGTTGAACATTTGTGTCAAAAAGTCTGCACTATGTTTTCTACTTCCTGATATAGAATACAGTGATTAAAGAATTACTTTGAGATTGATGAAATAAGTACACACACACACACACACACACACACTTCCAAGATAGAGACGTATCAGTGCTTTCTTTAACACTTCAATATACTTAGCAGAGTGCAATCAGATCCCATTTTTCTTAATGACAGAATTTGATAATTTCATTGACAGAAAGTAACTTAAAAATTGAATTTTTTTTACTTTTACACCATAAAATTACTGAAGTTTATGCACAGGAGTTAATTAACTCAAACTGATGAATATTTTGGATACTCTTGGTGATTACACCTATTTAACACATTAGTAGAAGTTTATAGACTTGACAATGTGACAGGTGTGTGTTTCCCTTGCAATACACCTAGCACACAGCTTGGAGGTAGGTATTACATAATAGTAACATAAAAAAAACTCTAATGTCATCAAAATACCTGGAAAATATTTCCATCATTTTGCACATGTAAATTTACATAATAG